AATTACTTATTGCTTTATTGGACGACAATTCAAGTCTTTCAACGTCTCCGAAATGTCTTATCGAGACGTCGAGTGATTTGAGCCAAAGCGAGCGCTCATTCGTTGAATTGGCTTTAAATGTCAAATACTTGTGTTTAGAATTGATGTGAATTCGGAATAGATTGGGGTCTAAATTGGTCTCAAATTGAGATAATTCTGTAATTGTAATGTCATTGAGAAGAATGGGCTCTTTGTATATCCTGTAAGTACAGGACAGAGCCTTCTCAGAGGCGAATACATTAGATATTTTGGGCAATTCTTTCGATGCAGTCGTAAGCATCAGAAAATCGTTGAACAAAAAGGCAATCAATTCGCGGCCAGAATTGGCTTTAATAAGAGTTCCCGATTGTAGTAAATCTCGGCGACCTATAAATCAATGCATTAAGAAAAAGCATTGGATTAAAGGCAAAGAAAAAGCACTCAATTAAATAATAAATGAATACCTAAACAATTGGTCTCTGAATTGAATTCAATATTTTGATCGATGCCATCAATTTTGATCTGTGTTTGCATCCATTGTAGTCGTTGGGCGTCTTCGGTGTTACGACAGGCCTCGTTGACGCGCTTACATAACTCTTGCGATAGTTTGAGGGCTTTTTGACAGTCGGTGTAATCGGAGTGATTGGTTGGCGTGTGTTCTAGTATTTTGCCGATAAGTAGCGGGTATTTTGTGATTCGTTGCATCGGTTTGAGGAGATAACTGCTGAGCGGCAATCGGTTGGCGCGCGTGTCCTGCGAACACAGTTTCGCGGTGTCGTTGAAATTGGTATCGTTTTCGGTCTTGTTTTGTATGAGTCTCGCGGCCGCCAATTGACGCGAACAGTACTTTACGTATTGGTCGGACATTAGTGTCAAATGGTCGCAAAAAATATCACTTATTTCGTTAATTATTGTCATATTATTGCTAACAATAGCATTGCGTTTACGAATCCGGAGGGCTCTGTATATACAAACAAAGTATGACATTAATGAAACAACTTTGATGGCTATCTCTATTAAAGACAATACTTTAGAAACTTTTGGTTGCATTTCACTAATTTAGGCCAATTCACGAATATTGACTCAGACTCGGCATCTGTTAAGCAATTCTTTGCTTTCAGAGGCTTTTGAAATACCTGTTCATCAATGAAAATAATATATCAGTTGATGGCATCAAAGCCTACAACAGAGACAACACACTCACGTCGATAACAATAGCCATATCGACAACGTATGCATTTTCGGAAGAAATAAACTCATTTATATGGTTCTGACGTTTCCTCTCGTCGTCTGTAATACTATACTCGGATCCAGTCGTGTCCTCTTCATCGTCGTCATCATCAAAGTCACTGTTAAAGCCATTGCTGTGAACATCAGTTGAGTTGTACTCATATTCACTAATCTGTTCGTCAATTCCTTGCGCTGATTGGAAATCAATTGAAACACAAAAATAACACAAATGTTTAAAATAAAAAACACAATAATTCTTATTGTAATAAACGATTGTATTTGTAATGACAATAAGTTTACAGTAATTTAATTTAATTTATTAAGTAATAACTATTACTAAAATCAGATTCAATTCATTTATTCTTTAAAGAGATTCTTCAGTGGAAAAAACTATATTTTAATAAAATTAATAATAATATATAAAATTTGAGGCAAAAATACTTAAACAAAAAATGCAAAAATAATTGGAAATTGAAATTAAAATAAAATACAATTAAACTTAACAATAGAAGACCCACTACTCAAACAAATGGTCTGAATTAATAACATAACAATAAATCAAAACACAATTTAGAAATATATATAACTTATAAATTCTAATAATAAACTCAAAGAATCTTTTCAAAGATATTCAATAAATTCCTAGTTTTGATATAAATTACAGATATATTTATATTAATTTCATATTTATATCGTATAATATTATTGTAATTATTATTAAATCATATGATTTAATGGATAAACGTATTGGTTATGCCATAAGAGGAGATGCCTTCAAATGAACGGCCGATTTCTGGGCGAAACTAATTGTGAACACATTTGCGCAATAATTATAGACAACAACAATGTGTGGTTTGCGCTGATTGGAAATCAATTGAAACACAAAAATAACACAAATGTTTAAAATAAAAAACACAATAATTCTTATTGTAATAAACGATTGTATTTGTAATGACAATAAGTTTACAGTAATTTAATTTATTAAGTAATGACTATTACTAAAATCAGATTCAATTCATTTATTCTTTAAAGAGATTCTTCAGTGGAAAAACTATATTTTAATAAAATTAATAATTATATATAAAATTTCAGGAAAAAATACTTAAACAAAAAATGCAAAAATAATTGGAAATAAAAATATTACAATTAAACTTAACAATAGAAGACCCACTACTCAAACAAATGGTCTGAATTAATAACATAACAATAAATCAAAACACAATTTGGAAATATATATAACTTATAAATTCTAATAATAAACTCAAAGAATCTTTTCAAAGATATTCAATAAAATCCTAGTTTTGATATAAATTACAGATATATTTATATTAATTTCATATTTATATCGTATAATATTATTGTAATTATTATTAAATCAATACTAAATTACCTATTTGCATAACCAATACGGTATTCTCCTCTACGGAAGTTTACTTGCCGGCTAAAGACCCGCTTTGATTAACACTTGTGTAAACGCGTTATTAATATCTGTTGTTGTTACACACCAAAGTAATTGGAAGTCACTAGTAGTGGGTCTCCAAAACACAACTTATTTATGCAATTCTTGATATTCTCCTACAAAACCAGTAAAAGAGGGAATGTATCAGAAAGTGTCAACAATTGCATCAATTCTTTAAAATGTAAACTAATTTTCAAAAATAAAACTTAAAACCTATTCTTAATATTTAGAAAACCGTATTATTAAAAAAATAATAATAACAAATGCGAACAAATTTAAAGTAAGAATAAAAAGAAATAATTTAAACAAAAAACTCAAAGATAATACGGTTTTGCTATCTATTTATCGAATCAATACATACATTGTTCGCGATATATCTCGACGTGATTTGATGGGAAGAGTCCTATGGCACCGGTGCTGATGAGCTGTCCTCTCCACCACGTCGTGTCCTCTTTCGCTAATACTTTTATTATGTCATTCGTTTCAAACGTTAACTCGTCGTCGTGTTGGGCGCGGAATGCGTACAATGCTATCACTCTCTCTGCACATAACAAAAACCATTTTCATTACAAATCCATTAAAAATAGCGACAAATTGCAAGCAAATACCGGAATCCTTATCGTCGGAAGCCTTTTGTCTGATGGGGTCGGGTGTGGAGCGGGCGGACGAACCTCCCGACCCACTCGACGGGTTTAACGCCTTGACGTAAGAGGCGGGAAACCAACCGACCTGTTTCTTCTTGCCCTTCACCTGCATCTCTCCCTCCCACCAACCGGACGATGTCTTCTTCCGCACTTGGATCAGCTGTTGCTTCTCGAGACTCAGCTGTTCGGGACCCGTGGCCTTATAGGGCGCGATCACTGTCACGATCTCCAGTTTCTTCAGCTTCGACTTCTATTTGTCCATTAAATCAATGTTTTAGTAATCAAATCAAAATTAACGCATTTAAGCGATGAATATAAAAGTATTAGTAATCGAGTGAATGAGACAATGAAAGCGAAAACCTTTGATGGTTTAGGAGAGTCACAGCTCTCAGAGTTCCGTCTCTGAAAGTTTTTTAGCAAAGAATTGCAGCAAAAAGTTTGGAAAACAAACGACTTTAGAATATGATATACTTTTGCGGTAAACAAACAATTCAAATGATAACTTACTTCCCCATCACTGGTCGGAGGGGGAGTCGGAGCCGACATTTGGCTCTGAAACGGAGGCGCACAAGTAGTTTTGGGCGCTGGTATGTTGGGCTCTGTTAGGACTGGGTTGGGCTGAAGCAAACAAATTACAAACTTTTACATACGTTACGCTTATCGGGTGTTATATTTGGACGTCTTTTGCAATGTTAGCGTTTCATTATTCAAAAGCAATTATTATTTTTAAAAACAAACAAAAAGCAAATGTCGGGAACAAACGTATACTCAAAACAATCACAAATAATATACTTAAAAAAGTATACAAATAGAAAAACAAAAAGTATTCAAATATAGATTTAAAATGAAAGGCAAATAGACTCACAATTTCTTCTGGTTGTGCCGATCGGACGTAATTGGATGGGAAGACGCCTTGTCTCAGATCGCTGATAACGCCTGTCCACCAGTCGCCCTCTTTCTTCACCACTTTAATCAACTCATTGGCCTCGAAAGACAGATCTCCCGGTTCTTGCGATTCAAATGGATATAATGCGAGATAATACTCGTCCTCCTGAGCGACATTCCCGCCCTCGCCTATAGGCTTTACGTATGACTTTGGAAACCAACCAGACGTGTCGCCAATCTGTCCGAACCACCACATGTCCTGTTGCTCTTTGATTATTATAATGTCTCCCTTTGCAAACGACAAGTGATTGTCTTCTTTGGCTTTCCAGGGATACTGTGCCACAGCCTTAATGGTGTCCGCCGTTAACTCCGAGCTCTTTGGATCCGCGATCGACGGCTGGAAACTCGAATCATCGGGCGCTGAGAATTGAGTCGAAACTTTGGTTGCAATCACTTCAGACTCGTTCCCATTTTGGGGCTCTTCTGCAATACCCCTAATAAATAACGTCAAATAAGACAATTAATAAATGGGTTTATATTCAAACTATAAGTTCTTACTCGAGAGGAGTGCGTCTGAGTTCAAAATTGGTGTCACTTTCGTTTTTAATAGACTCGCCTTCCATGAGCTCGACATAAGCCTCGGGAAACCATCCGACGTGATCTCTCACCTGACCCGACAGCCATCCCGGTTCAGAACACGCGCTCCGATCGACCTTTAAGTTTACGATGTTTTCAATTTCTATTCAGCAAAATGTGTATTGATTTCAAACTCACGATAACTATATCTCCCGGTTCTACAGTCAACTCGTCCTGATTTCTGGCTGTGAAGGCGTAGAGACACTTATATTTGACTTTAGTGACCGTTGCGCTACTCTTCAACGCGCTGTTATCTGTGGGCCACTCAACTGTTGGCACCGCTTGACCCCAACCGGCGTTCACATCTTCGTTCACGTGTACGCTCTGACAGTCCCGGAATTCCTGCGCCTCCAGGCGTTTCATATCGTATGCATTCGCCAATTGAGTCGTCTTCTCAATCATTTGCTTCAAATTATCCCTTAATTCAGTCAATTGTGTGTTATTATTGGCCAAATCAGCCATTTTGGTGGTCTTTTCAGTTTCAAACTGTTCTATTTGTGATTTCAATTGATTTATCATAATTTGCTTATTTTGTAGCGCAAACTGATCGGTGCCCGCGTTCTCCACACCTGTAAATCCAGACAAACATTAGCTAACAATCAAAGCAATGGCCCAATAGTGGCGGCAATACCTGCGGCGGCGGCGGTATTCTTGAGTTGTTGAGTGAGATTAAGCTTCTCCTGTTCAATGTATAACTGGCGGTCATTTAAAGCCTTGATCTGAGCCTTAATAGAGCTGAGAAGTCCCAACTTCTGGTCCCTTTCCAAACGCATCGAATCGATATCAGCCTTAATGTCGACAACTTTTTTACGCGTTTCGGCGACCGTTCCGTTCAATTCATTCAATTTATTGTTCACTCTTTCCATATCCAACGCCAATGACTTCTTTTTAGACTTAAGTTTCAGTACCTCTTCCTGTGTTTTAATCTTCTGATTGATTAAGTCCTGCTTTCGGGTGTTTTCCCATTCAATCATTCGCTGCCTTTCCATCTCACGTCTGGCGGCCTCTCTCTGTTCCAGTTGTTTGCGTCTCTGCTCTTCCTTTTCGGTCTCCATCTCTCGCTGTCTCTCCGCCTGTCGTTCGAGTTCTGCCTGACGTTTCCTCTCCTGTTCCAGTCTATCAAATAGTTATACATATGTTTTACAACACAATCGCTAAACAATACAAGCGGTTACGAGCGGTGGACACTCACCTGATTTGTTCCCGTTTTTGGTGCTCTTCCCTCTCCTTTCGTTCCCTGTCTTCGCGTTCCCTCTTCTGGGTCTCGAGGAGTGCCTGACGGCGCCGATCGAGCTCTGCCTGACCCTTCTCAAAGTTCTCGCGCCTCTTGTCCTCAAAAGTGGCCACAAATTGTGCCGACTCTTCGGCGATGTTGTCCACTGCGGGCGCCATCGCCGGTGATATGGTTGGGATAGCCGTCACACCCGACAGAGACCTCTTGCGCCGATATGAGGGCGGAATGAGATCGGGAGGCAATACAGTGGGCAGTGTATCGCCAGCTCTGACGCAATCGATTAAATGCATGGCAACGACAAACTCATCGCAAGTAAGCCTTCCATCGGAATCGATGTCCGATAGGTTCCAGATCTGTGCCAATACTGGTTGCGGTAATTTCGACTCAATCAGGATATTCCTGGCCTGAGGTCCGGTCAGGAAACCGGTTCGCGTCCTGTCGTGCGAATTGAATTGTTGGGTGTATTTGAGTTTCGAGGGCTGAGGGATCGCCCATTCCGTCAGTAACATAGAGTTCGGGTAATCGCCAGAAGTGATAGAACCCGAGCGCTGAACCTTCATGTCGGCCGCCGGTGGCGCCGGTCGGGGAGGCGGTGCTGAAGACGTCATATTTGTAGCATAACTGACAGCTGTGGCCGCCATCGATGGCTGTGTGGGAGCGTTGGGGACACCAAACGAACCGAAATCGGTAAACGCGGCGAAAGCGGGCGTTTCGACCAAAACCTGACCGATGATTACCGGGAGTTAAAAATAGTGTCAAACAATGTCTCGTCTGATGGCATACCTTAAGAGATTGTGGCAGAGTTTGTGGCAAATCAACGCCTCTGAGTCGAAGTGAGATGAGATGCAAAGCGATGGAGAACTCATTGATGTCCATCTGGCCGTCGGAGTCCACGTCCGCGAGTGACCAGATGTGGGCCAACACATTGGGCGGCAGACCGGAGGCCAGCATCACGTTCTTCGCCTGATCACCGCTCATGAACTCCGACCTCGAGTTACAAATGCGGACGAACTGTGACTCGTATCGGGCCTTCTGGTCGGGCGTCACCACAAACGGATCCGATGGCGGAGACGACAAAGACATCGCTCTTTCGCTTCCTCTTCACGTAATTGTCGACTGATTTAACGCTTTTATCGATAACTCGGATGTCATTCAAGCGATGATTGTGTCACTCATTTGTATCGCTCTCTCATTATTATTAACTATTATTAACGATAATCAGTACAAAGTGTTGTGTAATAGTAATAGTTATCAATGTATTAGTAATAGTAATGAATAGTTAATTACACGAAAACAATAATAAATATTGAGTTAAGTTCAATGAACACAATGAGTGTGTGCTTTAATTTGCAGTTACAATCAATGCTATCATCGCATATGAAGTGACTATTAAAGTGCCCCTCATTTACACCATAATCACAGTTAACGCACTCCAAGCGCAGTCACTCCCCTTCACTTCCCCTCCCCCTCACTCTTCGAATAGTGTACGTTATATATGACGAGTGGTTGTAATGAACGCCCGTTTCGTTGACAAACTGGACGACTCAATGGTAACACTAATAACGCTATGAAAGCTATGAATGGGTTAATAGAGAATCGAGTTGTCAGTCACTGTGTATGTAATGCTTAGGAATTGAATATTAATATTGTTTTTACTATACATTGAGTTATGAATGAAATTCACCCATAGATTGCTTATCAATTATCACATCATATTGTACTGTTTATTTCTATGACCTTGCTAACAAAAGTAATTGTTTAGAGTAATGGGGATTGATCGTGGTTAGCATAATATTCTGAATTATAAACATGGTTAAATAACAATTCTGTGATAATAATGATTGTATTGAATGGATAGGAAACACAAGAATATGTGGACAATATATTGCATTGAATAGTATTAATGTGTGAAATTATTGATAAATTGAATATATTGGTAGAAATGTGTGAATATAATCTTATAGTCAAACAATATTATGATATTTATTTGTTTCTTGCAATTGTTTTGCGATAATTAAATATTTCTGGTATTAAATGCTATGCTCTTATTGGTTACATAGTATTCACATATTTATTGTATTTAATAATAATATTTCTTTTAAATGCAATCAATTGACTCCTTATTTATTACATACACTTAAAGTATTGACAATAATTTACTGATCAATAATTATTATCTGTATAACGTTAAGTCATTTGGAATTTCTTACAACCATATTATCCATAATTTTATTTTTATATAATTAAATAAAAGTTTCAGTCATGTACATTTATTTTAATGTACATGTCTAACATATAAATGACAATAAAATATATAATTATTGTTTTATTATATACTGATGACTATTATAAATATTAAAATTGTTCTTATATAGATTATATAAATTGTCATTCTGTTTACTACACTACTGTAGTTGCTAACAACTCTCTCTCTCTCTCTCTGTCTCTCTCTCTCTCTCTCTCTCTCTCTCTCT